GAGGGCGAGGAGGTCGCCGATCATTGGCAGCTGCCACATGCTGGCCTGGAGTTGACGACGGAGCTCCCCATGTGGGACGGCGCCGAGGTCCACGGGTTGCACCGGAGGGCGGGCTGCCTGCTCGCTGCTCGTCTGCTGGGTCTTCAGTGCGTGGAGGGCGACATCGGCGAGTTGGTTGGGCACCTTGCGCCCGAGCGCTCCCCGACGCTGCGGCCAGGGGGGGGGGCCGAAAAGGCATTGCTCTGACCGCGCTGGGCGCGGTCCTCGGCGGCCTACCCACGCAACTCGCGACTGGAGGCTGCAGGGGGCGAGACCGCGAGCGCGTCCCTCCGCTCGCTGCTAGCCGCTAGATGCAGCCGTCCTGCAGCGTTGCATCAGAGAGGTTGGCGCTGTCCGACCTGGCCAGGTCAACCTCATTCAGGCGTACTGGCATGCCGAGGCTGCGCACGAAGGCCGCGACATATGCCTGTCGTTCGCGACCCGCGAAGAGGGCGCCTGCTGCGGGCGTCGAGATGACCTCGCGAGGTGGGCGCCCGTCCTGGAGGGTCGCGCGGCGCCTCGCCCTCGCCGCTGACCTCCGCGGCGAGCAGTCGCTCGCTCCCCCCAGCGCCGCGCCGGCGCGGCCCCCCCCGAAGGGTCGCGCGGGCCCTGCTGACGTCTGCCCTCCAGGGGCTGCCCGCTTCGCAACGCGGAGGGCGCAGGCTGCCTTTGCGCGGGGTCCAGCCGCGAGGGCGCGGCCGCTTGGAGTCGCTCCGCTGGGCCTGGTTATGCGGGCGGTGGCCCGGGTCCTGCGCCGCCGTCGTCGTCGCCCTGGCGCCAGCGCCGTTTGCCGCCTCTGCCCAGCGGCGTCGGCAGCGGCCGCTCGCCCGCAAGGGCGTCCTGGATCGGCTGCACCGCGGAGGGGGGGATGGGGCCCGGGAGGGCCTCCCATATTGGATATGTGCCTGAAGCAAATATTATTGCCGCCCTGCGTCTGCGAGGCGGCCGCCCCGGCCCCGTCGGCTGCCGCGCCGCCCCCTCTGCTCGCCCCGCCGCGGCAACTGCGGCTGGTGGGGCAGCCGCGCTGGCGAGGGCCAGCGGGGTTATGAAGTGCCGCTCCTCGACCGCCGGGTTGCCCGTCGCCCTCTGGGGCGCCGCGTGGAACTGCGCGCGCCTTTGCTGCGCCGCCTGCCAAGCTTTCCCGCGCGCCTGATGCTCGCGCTGCAGCGCCCGGGCCCAGGGCGGACGCGCGGCCGCGTCGCCTCGGGGGGCCCTCGCCGCGAAGTTCCAGACGTGCCCCTCTAATTTCTAGTCCAAATGCGCCTGGTAGTGCCGTGGGCTCCCGCCCTGCAGTCCTTGCCTGTCTGCGTGGAACTGCCCGGGCGTGATCGTGCCTGTGCGTGCGGAATGGAACCGCGCGCTTCCGCGGCGCTACTAGGCCCTGTAGGGGCTCGACCTTGATGGGCGCCGCCTTGCTGGACTGCGTCGCCCCTGAGTTGGCCCGAGGTCGGGGCCCTCCTCCTCCTCCTCGGTCGAGTTGACCGACGTCGGCGCCTCGGCCTTGGCGCCCCCCCGCTCGATCTCTGCCTGCCTGATCTCGAGGTCTGACTTTGCTGGCGTCTTCTGCTCCTCGATCCTCTAGAATGCTTTCTCGAAATGCAGCCGCGTCGCTCAGTGATCGGGTGCGCTCAGTGGCATGACTCCCAGGCGCGCGTCGGCCTCGCCCTCCGTTGTCTGGCGCTGCTCGATCCGAGCCCGCGCCGCCTGCTGCGCGCGCGCCAGCGCCGCCGCCTTCGCGCCGGGCTATATCCCGGCCTCCGCGCCCAGCTCGAACGAATCCTATGCGAATGCCCTGGCGTCGTCGCTGGAGTTCATCACGTTGGTGAACTTGCCCATGCTCGTCACCCCACAGGTGCGCGGCGCCGCCTCCGCGCGCGGCGGAACGCCCTTCTCCGCGGTGGAAGTGCAGGTCCAAGTTCGGCCATTAAAAGACATCCTCACGCTCCTCCTGCGCGAGGTTCGGCGGCGCGCTGCTGATGCGCCCCATCCCGCCGGGCTGCGCAAGCGACGCCGAGGGCCAGCGGGGCTGCCCTGGAAAACGCGCAGGCCTCATTCCTAGCCGCTTGAGCTGAACGATTGCGGACCGCGCGACAGCCCCATCCCGCTCGGCAGAGCGGTCGCGACGCGCGGCGCGGCCCCGAGGCCCTGCCCGTCTGCCGCGGGACGACCCCAAACAACGCGACGGCATTCCTTCCTGCCGGGGCCCCCCTGTCCGCGGCGGACGGGGGCCGCGGGCGGGGCGGGCGTCGTCGACGCGGGGGGGCGCCCGCTGGTCGACGGGGCTCGGGGCCGCCCCCCGGGCGAGCGGAAGGTTTTCACCAGTGCGCGCTGTCTCTGGTCATTCCTTGCGCGGGCTCGGACGCCGCGTCTGGCGTCTCGCCAACGCGCGGGCATGGCCGGCGGGTCGCTCGAGCCTAAATGGCGGCGGCAGGGGGGCCCGCCCCAATGGGTCGCGCTGGGCCCCTCGCCGCGTGCGCCCTCGCAGCTGCCCCAGGGGGCCAGGCGACGTCGCGCCGGCAGCGAGGGCGGCGACGCCCCCCGCGCAGCGCGCCAAATGCAGATCACGGGCGCATCAGCGCTGGCGAGGGTAGCTGGGCGAACGCCTAGATCGGCGACGCGACGGCGAGAAAAAATACCCTCTCGGGAGTAAAGGCGCCGAGGAGACCGGCGGCCTCTCATTGAGCACGCGAAGATGCGCAAGGCGGCCAGTCTGCGCCAGGTCGATGGCTGCGGCGGGGCGAGCAGAAGGTCGCCGCTGACTTCGGCCCACGTCGACGAGCTGCCAGACCCAAAAGATTACGAGGTGGTTTGCCACATGCACCGGCGCCCCGCGTCGGCCGACATTGCGAGGGCGGCCGACGGGGGCAAGGGCGAGGACGGAGACTCGGGAAGCTCATCGAGCTTCGAAAGCTCCGACGGGTCGGAGGGGGCTGTCGCGAGGAAGGCCGCGGCGGCGGCGGCTCCGAGCAGGTCCCCGCCGCCGCCGCGCTCGCCGCTTTTTGCGCCGACAAATTATTCTCCAGCGCAGGCCAATTCGTCAGCTCTGGGACGACCGCCGGCTCGTCCAGCGCCGCGCAGGCCTTCCCTGAGCGCAGCGCGTCCGCCGCCCTCGAATAGGTGTCCGCCCCTGCCGGCGACCGCCGCCCCAGGTGGTCGCGGTCGCTCTTCGAGACGCCCAATGCCGCTGTGGCAGATGGGATCGTCGCCCGCTCCGGGTGCTCGGCCCAGAAGCTCATGGCCTCCTCGGGGAGGAGGAGCTCCATCACCTCTTCAGTGCACGCCGCTGGCATGAGCATCCTTCGGAGTACCTCCTGACCTGCTGCCGATGCCTCGGCGTGCCTGGCAGCCGACAGGCTTGCGAACTGCCCTGCGTCGCTGTACTTCAGAAAGAAATAGTCTCTCTCTCTTTCTCTCGAGATGTACGATCCCCTGCCGCAGGTCAAAGCCCACCTGGATCCACTCTGGGGCCAGCATCTTGCGCCTTGCTCCGTTGGTCTGCGTACGTCCCAGCGTGGCCGTCAACCATCCGCCCACGATAGCGAGACGCTACGGTGGGAGCCAGCTGTGCACGTCGTAGCGTAGCGCCGCCAACAACTTGACGAGGCGAATCCACGCCATCCCGCGCAAGTACGGCACGAGGCCGCCGTCCATGACGAGCCGTTTCAAGGTTCTAATGAACGCGGTGGGGAAACGTGCTGCCCTTGTCGTCGGCCCCGTGCTCACACCGAAAAACATCCCCGCGTTCGCGACGACGTGTTGCGCTTCCGACCAAGCGGAGAGCCTGTCGCTCGTATCGGTACCTGCGACCCGCTTCGTCCAGACCAATGCACACAGGATCTGATTGGGCACCGTCGGCCCACACGGCTCTGCCGCCCCCCGAACTCGCGCAGAAGCCACCTGCGCATCGTCTCCACGGAACGCACGTGCCCTCACCGTGTTGCTGCGTGTGCGGGTCGTGCTGCCGTCCTGCGCTCGCTCCAGGTCCATGCAAGCCTGCACCGTCCCGAGGGAGGGCGCTGTCATCTCCTCGAACAGCGCGAACAGGCGAGACGTCCACCGAACCCACTCGTGCACCTCTAATCCACGCCGTGGCGTCCTCCAGCATTGCCCGCCCTGGGCAATCATGGCACGCCCTGAAGCGTTTCTGAATGGGTTCTTCAACAACGTTTCGATCTACGACCTCTCTCAGCGGCTGCCGCGCCTCCTCCACGCTGAAACCCGTGGCTTCCGCAACCTTCACGAAGGTCCCCTCGAAATCGGCCCCCCCTCGCCTGCAGTGCGAGGCGCGTGCCGAAGTCGTACGTACTCATGCAACACCTTGCTGACCCGCCGCCGCGCGGCGTCGCAGGCGCACGGCCCATCGGCAAGCATCTGCGCACAACCGTTGCTCAAGATCGGCCGAGCGCCTGAGCCCAAATGGCCACAGGCAACGGGCAGATCGTGTTGCCACACGGGGGCATCTCACACGAGGTCGGCCGCCCCGAAGGGGTGCCCAGGCGAAGCGCCAAGGAACCGGAGAGGAGGGCGAAGGGAGGGGGGAGGGGAAACCCACGCGCGCAAACCGCTGCTATCGCGCCGTTCGGTGGACCCCCGTGCGCCCGCACCAAAGGGCGCCTTCTTTGCAAGGCTACTTTCACACCTGAGAACGCGTGTTTCCATTAAATTCAAGCATGTTAACTTGCATGGGACTCCCCCCCCCCGCCCCCCTCCCTCCTCCCCCCCCCGCCCCCCCTACCCTCCGCCGCCATATGGCCTGATGAAACAATGCTGGGCCGAAACGGCGTGCAAGTGAATTCACCTTGCACGAAATCCAGACTTCCGTCAGGTCCTCGCCAGGCCCGTCACTCCTCTCCCTTCACGCAAGTGAATATACCAAAACCCATGTAAAGAAGAATGGCTTCTGGCCGAACACACTCGACCGACGGCGGCGGACGCTTGCCCCGGCCACGCGCGACGGCGGCCTTGCTGACGGGGTCCGAGCAGCCCACGCCGGCCTGCAGGAGCCCTTGGCACGTCTGCGCCACCACCTCGTGCCTCGCCGGCCGGCGGGCCGGCCGCCTGTCCCCAGACGAATGGCGTTGCCGCCATCGCGGAACGCGGCCGCCCACCGCCGCCACGCGGCGTCGGCGGCGAAGGCGCAGGGGTGGCGTCGGCGGCGAGCTCCCCGAAGGGCCCGGCCTCGCTGTGCCTCAACCCCGGACCCAGGCATGCTATAGCGTCGCGCAGGAATCGCGACGGAAGGTCCTTGGCCGTCTTCGGCGCCGAGGGGCCCCCGACGGGCCCCAGGAATGTCAAAAGCAGCTCGGGCTGAAAAAAGCCGGCCTTGGTCACAGGGGCCGGGACTTGCGGGCAACCCGCGTTGAACAAACACAAACCATCGGGCGTCTGGGAAGGGGCGGGCAACAGAAGGGGGATGTGGCGGATCACCTCACGCAGCTGGCTTTGCCAGCGCATCCTGGCGCCCGAGGCGCCACCGCATCGAGGACTGCGCCCGCAGGCGGGGGCCCAAAACTGGCTGCGCGCGGCAGGCTTCGGACAACCCCTGCTTCCCAATCCCCCCCCGCCTCCCGTCCGACCCAAGCAGTGGCCACCCCGAGGGCCGAAGCAACCCCATGGACATGCACTCTGTGGGCAAGACTCGCGAGCGAGCGTGGGCCATCTTCTTCCGCGGTCTCGGACGGAGGCCTCTTGACACTGCTCGGGCACTATGGTGATGGCGTTGGACATGGGTCTGGAAGCCGGTGGAGCTCCAACCGTGGATTGGCCATGGATATCACCGCCGTCCGCGGCAAGTAAGGAACACTTCAGGGTCTGATGCCTGCTGGGCACATTCCTTTACAGACGCGCCGGACTTTTTCGGACACATTTGACAGCTTCGGAATAAGCATCTTGGCCAAAACGACTGCCTTCATGATGACTTCGCCTGACGGAGGGCCCCAAGCAGAGTGGCTGGAGCCTGCATGGGGTAGGGGGTCGGAGGTCCCCGTCGGCGCTATGGTACCTGTGACGACCACTACCGTACACGTCGTTCATGTCTAATCGTGCTCATTTCTAATTGTGCTCCTTTCTAATTGTTAGTAGTGGCCAGGAAGGGGCCCAGGATAGCAGAATTGGAAATGAAAGGATCTTGGCCCCCACAAACACAAACAGCTTTCGAATAACTAGACAGGAACGACGTGTACCTGTGATCCAAGCTTCTGCAAGGCCTCCACCGCCTTTTGGCCAGCCCGCCCACACCACACTCGAGGACCCCCACCTCCGACGTCGCCGAAAAGCTGCACACGGTCGGCAACTTGTCCTCAGCGTGCCGCGGCTGCGGCCCGGCCCGGAAGAGGCTCGAGACGCCATCGAGCGCCGACGCGCCGACCGGAACTCTGCGGCGCCGAACGAAATTCGGCAGCGCCGAATGAAATTCGGCAGCGACGACGCGCTCAAATTCGGTGACGCTGACACGAACTTCGGCACCGCGCGACCCGCTTTCAGGCGCACTTCCGACGGTGCAAACAGTGCGCTCGCTGCTGGCTTTGAGCGCAGATGTTCTGCACTTTGGTCGCGACCGGATCCTGTGGAGCGCTACCGGAACAAAAAATCTGGGAAGGCGAGACCTTCTCTTGAGCGCGCCGCGTGGCTTCCGAGCACGGGCCGCCCAGGGGGGATCGGCCGACCCTGATCGTCTGCGCTGGCAACCTGTTGCGCGCGCCCCGAGCCCAAACTTGAGCGCCCGCGCCGGCGCCCGCCGCCGCGCGAGTGGGGGCGCCCCCCTCCCCTCCCCCATCGTCGCGTGGTGTCCCGAGTGGCCGCGGGCCTCTGGGCGGTCAGGACCTCGCCGAAGTGCGCGTCTATCTCCTCGCAGCTGACCTTCGGGGGGTTGGGCGGGGGTGCTGGCGGCGGCACCCTCCTCCTCCCCCTGCCTCCTCCCGCCGTCCCTCCTCCCTCATGCCGGCCTCAAGAACCCCGCCTGCGATGACGATTAGATGGTCATGGTCATGCGTGCGATGTTGACAGTGATGGTGAGCGTATGCGGTGATAGTGGTGGAAGTTACGAGGATGATGAGCAGGGAAATGATGGGGGCGGGAAGGAGCAGAAAGGATGATGAGGAGGATCAGAATGGGTTTGAGGGAGACGGATTATAGGGAGGAGGAACGGACGGGGAGACGAGGAGGAGGAGGTGGAGGATGAAGAGGAGGAGGAGGAGGAGGAGGAGGAGGAGGAATAGGATGAAGAGGAGGACGACGAGGATGCGGAGGAGCAGGCAGGTGCAGGCGGATCCAGGCTGGGTCGGGCGCGGCGCAAGCGAGGCAGCTCGCAGCTACGGCACGCCCATCTCGGTCAGCGCACGCCGCGCGTAGAACTTCACGTCCGGGTCCGCGTCGGCGGCCTGCCTGCGGAGGCACGGGATCAGGTGGCTCTCCGTGACGGTCGGGCTCGTCTTCGCGGCGAAGGGCTGCATGGCTTGAATTACCTTCGCCGTGTTGAAGCAGACGTTGGGCACGGGGTCGGCCGCCAGCTTCACGACCAGCGGCACCAGGTGCTTATCCAGGAACTCCCGGGCCGCGACCTCTGCCAGTCTGCCAGCGCACAGGACGGCCGATATGCGGTACAGGTAGTTGCCGTGCGCCAGCAGCGCCTGCAGGCGCGGGACGACGTGGGTCTCGCACCAGGACGTGCCCAGCTCCACGTAGAGGAGGCGGAAGTTCACGGCGATGGCGTCCCTCACGGAGAAGACAGGGTCCTCGAGCCAGGCCGCGAAGAGGCCGCTCAGCTCCTCGGTGAACTTGGTCGGCCCCAGGTGCTTCGCCAAGGAGGGCATGCTGTCTATGACCATGCGCCGCACGCGCCACTGCCTGTCCCTGCCGAGCTCCTTGATGCACGGCAGGAGGGACTGCGACAGCACGTCGATGTCCATGGCCGAGGACAGCTCTCCCAGGGTGCCGATCAGCTTCAGCCGCACGTCGGCGCTCTCGTCCTTGATCAGGTGGAGGAAGATGTTCACGAGGTGGTCCACCGTCAGGTCGGGGCCGAAGATCGGGGCGAGCGACAGCACGGCGCCGGCCAGGGCGGCGCGCACGTGCTGCGAGCGCTCCCGCGGCGCCGTGAGCTTCTCCATCACGGGGATGAGCATCTCCAGGAGCTCCTTGTCCGGCTTGACCTTCGACACCCCCGCGATGCGGGCGGCGGCCATGGTCCGCACCTCGACCTCCTGGTCCTGGAGCAGCTGGAGGTACAGGGGCACGATGTGCGCCTCGGCCTTCGCCTGGAACACCTCGCAGAGGGTGTGCACGTGCTCCGCCATGACGTACCTGACCCGCCAGGACTTGTCCTCCGAGCAGGAGAACGACTACAACATTGGTTCGCTCCCCGACTGTTTCTGGCGCAGAGAGTCTTCGTATGCATGTACGGAAAATATGCATGTCTTCAGCTTCGGCGATAATTCCAACTTCGGGTAACTCAAGTACGTAATCTATATCTCCCCACCCGGCAGGCTGGTGTCGTAAGGTTTTAAGAACAGACCTCCAGGCCCGCCCGCCCGCGTACTGCGGCCGCCAGATCCCCAGGCTCTGCGATAATCCCTGGTGGTCCCGCCCCCCCAACGCCCTGCATGCCGCGGCCACCAGATCCCCAGGCTCCCGATAATCCCTGGTGGTCCCGCCCCCCGCGCCGACTCGACCACTCTGCATACTGCGTCCGCCAGATCCCCAAGTCTCCCGACAATCCCTGGTGGTCCCCCCCCGCGCCGACTCGCCCACTCTGCATACCGCGGCCGCCAGATCCCCACGTCCCCCACAGAACAGAGCCCAACACCACACCACCGAACAGAACATACCCGAGCATAACGTACATACCGTACCATGACAGACCAGATCGTAACATAACACATCATGACCTGGAAGTGCATACCATAGCACAGCATCACAGCACATATCATTAACAACATAGCATGACAAACCAGCCATACCATAACAACTCCACGCATAACTAAACAGACCGACCAGTAACATACCACACCACCACAAAACATGGCTTCCCATACCATACCACAGCACATCAACACAACGCATGATATGCCAGATCGGAGCATACACATCATTACCAAACATACCATAGCATAACATGACATAACATAGCAACACATAACATGCCATGACACAATAAGTCGCACCATGACACCGCATCGCAGCACATGTCGTTGCATGTCATGGCAAACCATAATCTGACAGAGGAAGGCGTCATATGCTAGACCATCGCAAGGCACAGCATATCAAACCACCACAATCGATGACATGATTGGTCACACAGAATATGGCATACCACCACACCTCACAAGACAACATACCAGAACATAAGATGACACACCATGCCAGAACACGGCCCGACCGCCGCAATGGCCGCGACGACCGCGCGCCGCGCACATCGTTCCCAACGACGCGCGCACCTTCGGGATCAAACGCCGAAGGTTTCGGTGGGGATCGCTCGAAGCAACATCAGGCTGTTTGTTTTTCTTTGCCCGGTATTAGGAGGAGGAGGAGGAGGAGGAGGAGCAGGAGGAGGAGGAGGAGGAGGAGGAGGAGGAGAGAGGAGGAGGAGGAGGAGGAGGAGGAGGAGGAGGGGGAGGAGGGAGGAGGAGGAGGAGGGAGAGGAGGAGGAGGAGGAGGAGGAAGAGGAGGAGGAGGAGGGAGGAGGAGGAGGAGGAGAGGGAAGGAGAAGGAGGAGGAGGGAGCAGGAGGAGGAGGAGGAGGAGGAGGAGGAGGAGGAGGAGGAGGAGGAGGGAGGAGGAGGAGGAGGAGGAGGAGGAGGAGGAGGGAGGAGGAGGAGGAGGAGGAGGAGGGAGGAGGAGAGTCCTGCGCGCACGACTCCACCACCGGGAAGATCTGCGCCTGCCGCTCCGCGCTGGGCTGCAGCCTGCCCAGCGCCACGCAGTTGGCGATCGCGAGTATGCGCACGGACTCCTGGGGAAGCCAACAGGGTGCTGATACGCGCCGTTCATGTCTAATCGTGCTCATTTCTAATGAAGGGGCCCTGGGACACACAAATAAATACACACAAAAGCAAATATCCCCCAGAGTTTCCCATATTTTTGGGGTTTTCGTCTTCCCTCCCACTTCCCATATTTCCCCATATTTTCTGGCAGTCGACGATTAATTGTGTCTGTGTGTTTTTTCCCCTCCTGATCTAATTGTGCTCGTTTCTAACTGTTCCTGGCCCCCCAGTGGCCAGGAAGGGGCCCAGGATAGAACAATTAGACATGACAGGATCTTGCCCCCCCCCAAGAAAAAGCAAAGAACTCTCGAAAAATCAGAAATGAAGAACGTGTACCGCTACTTGAACAGGGACCGACCGTCCCAGCATTCCTATAGGCCTACCGCGAATTTTTCTTAGAACCCCAAAGCGTCCTAATAACAAGCACGCTGTTCTTAGAACATAACATCGGTGTGATAACACAAGAGAGTCCCAACAAGAAACGTTCTAAGAACATTTCGTGAAAACCACAACAGGTTCTTAGAACATTCCTTGGTAGGCCTATAGGCACGCCGGGACCTCTCGTGGGGTGCATTCTGACTAGGATTTCGAGGAGAATCCAGCGGTGGCGACGACGGAGGCCCAGGAGGCCCCAAAAAAGGGGAAAACGAGGGGAGGGGAGGGGTAATTATGTGTGCATTTTCCCCTCTGAGACTCCTGCTCGTCCTTGCAGAGCTTCTCGAACGCCTCCACCAGCTCGGGCAGCATCGACTCCTGCGGCAGGACAGACGCCACCTCGCCGAGCACACTGGCGGCCTGTCTGCGCACCATGGGCGTGTCGTCACTGCAGAGGCGCGTGTAGGCCTTCAGCAGGTCGTCCTGCTTCGACCCGCTGACCTTCGGAAGCGCCACGGAGAACAGCCCGCAAGCGGACATGCGGGACGTGAACCAGTCGTGCGAGCCGGCGAGCCGGCTGATCAGGGAGCACACGTGCCTCTGCACCTGCCAGCGTTACGTCGCATCCTCGGGGGACCTTGTCTGTCCCTTCGCTGCCCCATCCGCGTCGAATCCGTGTCGAATCCAGGTCGGACTCGTCGCATCCCTGTCGAATCCCGGTCGAACCCGCACCGAGTCCACGCCACGTCCGCGCGTCGAGTCCGCACCGAGCCCGCGTCGGGCACAGGCAGAGACACCACTTTGGGTGACAGGCGCGCCCCCCCGAAGATGCAACGTAACCAGCGGCGTGCGCAGGGGGCGCGGAGCGAGGCGGGCGGCCTCCCGAAGAGGCCCGGGAGGCTCCTCAAGAGCAGACCCGGCCTTCTGAGCATCCCCCGAAGCCCTGCCGCGAGGCTCCTGCTGTTGCCCTCCAGGGAGGCCGCCGCACCGCCGCCCCCCGCCCCCCCCCCCCCCCCCGCCCCGTGTGCACGCCACCAGTGCTTGGCATGAAGGACCCGCCTCCCTCACTGGGATGACCGTGTGGGGCTCTAAGTGGATCAGGGGGGCTACGAGGGGATGCCAAGGTGGGCCTTATCTGACCCAACCTGGTATATCTGTGTGCTCCAGGTGCCCCGAGTGGCATATAGGGGGGCAGCGATCCGGGCTGAGTGGGCTGCGCTCACTTGGCGGAGTCATCTCACCGAAGCTGCAGCGCAACCAGCGGCGTGCGCAGGGGCGCGGTGCGAGGTGGGCGGCCTCCCGCAGAGGCCGGGAGGCTCCCTTTGAGGGCAGGCCCGGCCCTCTGAGCATCCCGCGAGGCCCTGCCGCGAGGCTATCCTGCTGCTGCCCTCCGGGGGGGGGCCGCCGCACCGCGGCCTTCCCCCCCCCCCCGCCCCGTGGGCGCGCCACCAGGGCTCGGCGTGAGGGAGGCGCGTCCTCGAGGAGCCGGGTCCTGGGCTCCGGGGCCTCCGCCCCCCGGGGGCCAGCTCCTCCTCCCGAGCCGTCCTCCGCCCGCTCATGAGAGGGCGTCGTGCAAAACTGCCGGAAAGCAGCATCCGGGGTCGATTTCCCTCGGGAGCGCCTTCCCTTCGCGAGCCCAGACGTCCGACGACTCGTGTTCTCAATCCACGGCCTTAGATCTCCTGACCCTTTACCCAAGGGTAGGTCTTCGTCCCGGATCCGTTCTGGATGGTCCGGGGGCACGATGACGGACCCCAGAGGCCGAACTGGAGGGGAGAAGCGTCGGGATTGGAGAGTCAGATCCGGGCAGTGCACCTGCGGGTCGCTCTCCAAGTTCATCTCCCGGATCAGGCTCTTCAGCGAGCCCACGGCCTTCTCGCGGACCGAGATCTCCTCCTGGCTGCACAGCTCCTCCAGCGGGGCGGTCAGGGCGTGAGCGTGCCGCGGCCCGCCGACCCAGGGCACTCCCCTGCCCAGCTCCTCCGCGAGCGCCGCCTGCAGCTCGTCCTCGTCGTCGAGGACGTCCTGCAGGAACGGCAGAAGCTCCTCGCGCGTCCGTTCGGGCCCGAGCGCCGTGGCGATCGTGCCTAGGCTCCTGTCGGCTACACGCAAGAGTGACCCTGGGTAGGAGTGACCTTTGGTGCGCAGCTTTTCGGAGCGCGAGGGGGCCAAACCCAAGGGCGCGGGCCGCTTATATCGCATCGCGCTCGGCGATCGGGGGGAGCCCGAGGAGCCCGCACCAAAGGTCACTCCGGCGAAAGGTCACTCCTACGTGTAGCCGATCCTGATGGACCGCAGCCGCGTCTGCCGGTCGTCGTGCCCGAGCTCGTCGATGAGCACGGCCACCGGGTACCTGGGCCGAGACGGCGGCAGGGAAGAACAGCTGCGAACATATGCGAGGACGGTGACAGAGTCGTCTACTGCAGAGACACACGGCAGGACATGTTCCGTTCAGACACATAGGGTCACATGCGCTGTCGATCCCATCCCAAGGTTACATCGGGCGTGTCCTCCTACAGGCGGATTTGGACGAACAATCAAAAAAGAGAGAACATAATTCGGGATGACGATTCATAAAAAAATGGGAGAGAACGATTAAAACAATAATTTTCTGCTATTTCTGCATAATTTCCTGACTGGAGGAAAACGATTAAAAAGAATTGTCCAGCCGGCGGCCGGTTTTTTCTAATTGTCATCCCGGGCGCCGCGGCGTGAACACGACCCCCGGTCATTTATTAATCGTCATCCTCCATTAACCAAACATAGTCAACACATCGTCCCCATAATGTTTTACGATTCTTTTCGAATACTTCCCCTGTAGAGGGACAGGCCCGACTCAATCCTAAGGCGTCCCACGTCTTCGGGGGGGCCCCCGAGGGCCACCCGGGGACGAGAATTGGTCGTGGGGCGCCTGCTGGCAGGTGCACTTCCTCTGCGGCGTGCCTGCTGTGCTCCTCCCTCCCTCCCTCCCTCCCACCCCTCCCTCCCTCCCTCCCTCCCTCCCTTCCTCTCCCATCCCTCACTCCCTCCTCCCCCTCCCTCCCTCCCTCCCTCCTCCCTCCCTCCCTCCTCCCTCCTCCTTCCCCCCCTTCCTCACTCCCTCATCCCCCTCCCTCACTCCTTCCTCCCTCTTCCACGGCTCCCCCCTCGCCTCCCCCTCCTCCCCCCTTTCACAATTACACAATATGAATACTACTCTCTTCTCTCCCCTGACTCTGTCTAGAGAGTGTCCCGCACTCTCCGTGTATTATGTTTACACACAAAATTTCATTAATGTTGTGTTTGTTCAATCCGGTCGCTTCTAGTTCTTTCAAAATCTTGCTCCCGGTGCAGCGCCGCCACCATGACCGCGCTACGGTCATTCAAACTCGTGCTCCCAGTGCAGCGCTGGCCTCGTCCCCGCGCCTCCGGACGGCACTTGACATTCGAGAGCGCCCACATCGGGCAAGCACGCTTGCGGAAGACATGGAGCTGGCATTCAGAACAAGCCCTGCCCGCTCGTCGACGGGTCACTTACCGTCTAAGTCATCCGATGCCATGCCACGGCATGCAATGAGATGCTGCGATGTGCACCGCTGTGCGATGCCATGCTTTGCATTGCTATTCTTGTGATGCAATGCTTCACTACGCGATGCCACGCCATGCTACGCCATGCTATGCTCTGCAGTGGTCTTCTACGCCATGCTTTTCCATCCATCGCGTACCCTTTTGGGATCATTGCCCTGCTCGACATCCGACTGTGCGAATAGATGGGAGATCTACTCCATGGTAAAGGATGGGAGGGAAGGGTAGGACGTCAGATGTGACGCTAGATCACCCAGCTTCCCTCCCCCCCATTTCTCCCCCCGCCGCCTCTCCACAATCATCGGAATGGGGGGTGAGTCCGACGTGAAACGGAGACCCCCTCTACCGGGAAATCGATTTCGGTTTCGGGTTCGTGTCGTGCGTGCCGTGCGTGCGTGCGGGCGAGGCGAAGCTGCGTGGGCGGGCGAGAAGAAATCCTACTGTGGCTGGGCCGCGGCAGGACCAACTGTAACTCCTCTGGCGGCAGGTGCCCCGCGGTGTCCCGCCAGTCCCGAAATCCTCCCGTGGCTGGGCCGCGGCCGGACCAAATGTTTCTCCTCCGGCGGCCCGGTGCCCCGCCGCTGTCCCGCGGGTGTCCCGAAATCCTCCTGTGGCTGGGCCGCGGCCGGACCAAATGTTTCTCCTCCGGCGGCTGGTGCCGCATGGTGTCCCGCCGGTGTCCAGCTGCTGTCCCGTGGTGTCACGTGGTGTCCCGTGGTGTCCTGTTGAGTGAGATCGATAGTGAGATCGATACTGAGATCGATGTGGTGCCCCGAGGTGCCCCGTGGTGTCCCAGAAAGTGAGATCGATAGTGAGATCGACAGGTGTCCCGTGGTGTCCCGTTGAGTGAGATCGATAGTGAGATCGATGCTGAGATCGATGTGGTGCCCGGAGGTGTCCCATGGTGTCCCAAAAAATGAGATCGATAGTGAGATCGATGGTGAGATCGAGAGGTGTCCCGTGGTGTCCCGTGGTGTCCCGTTGAGTGAGGTCGATAGTGAGATCGATAGTGAGATCGATGTGGTGTCCCGAGGTGTCCCGTTGTGTCCCGTTGAATGAGATCGATAGTGGGATCGATAGTGAGACCGATAGTGAGATCGAGAGGTCTCCCGCGGTGTCCCGTGGTGTCCCAAAAAAAGAAATCGATAGTGAGATCGATGGTGAGATCGAGAGGTGTCCCGTGGTTTCCCGTTCTGGCCCGTGGTGTCCCGTTGAGTGAAATCGATAATGAGATCGATTGAGTCAGATGTTGGTTCCCCTCCCCCCTCTCCCCCCCCACAACCTCCTTATCACCCGAAGGGTGGTCTTATAGGTACAAGAATATTTCTCTCCTCTCTCCACTGATGACGTCAGGCAGATATCTGGCCCCCCCACCGCGTATTGCGTTTTACACACAAGATTCCCGGGAATTGGGTTTTCGCTGGGGATTTGTTCCAAAATTTTGCTCCCGCTGCAAAGCTGGCCTCATGTTCGGGCTTCCGCTTGTTCCGAATCGTGCTCCCGCTGCAACGCTGGCCTCATTTCCGTGTTTCCGCTCGTTCCAAATCGTGCTCCCGCTGCAGCGCTGGCCTTCCTTCAAAATAGGTACCAAACGCTCAGAAATGCCCCCCCGACAAAAACCATCGGAAGTGATTCCACATTCGGTGTCGATTCGTTGATTTTCTGGGCCGCAGGACCCCCCCTCAATTTGGGGCGTCGTCGTTTGCAGGAAGTATCAAGTGGGAGCCCGCTTTCTGCTTTGAGAAGGCGATGTTGAAAGCCAGCGGGTGCTCTCCATCAGCCCCGCCTTGTGTGGCGCTTTTCGGCATCCACATACCTTCCAAGGAACCTGGCGCCACGCCATGAGATGCTGTGCGGTGTTGTGTTTCGCGTCGCTGTGCGATGCCATGCTTTGCGTTGCAATGCTCTGTGATTGAATGCTTCACTGCGCCACGCCACGCCATACTATGGCATGCTACGCTCTGCCATGCTCTTCTACGCCATGCCATGCCGTGCTCTACCATGCATCGCGTACCCTCTCGCGATCATTGCGCTGCTCGACATCCGAAGGTGCGTAATGAGAGGATCTATACGCCATGATACGTGATGGGAGGGAGGGGTCCGACGTCAGATGACGCGAGCGCACATAGTTTGCCCCCTCCCCCTCCCCCCTTTTCGCCTTCTTCTCTTCTTCCTCCCGCTCCCCCCGCCCCCTGTTCCTTCTCCTATCCTCCTCTTCCTCCCTCCTCTTCCTCCTCTCTCCATCTCGTCTTCCTCCTCCTCCTCCTCCTCCTCCTCCTCCTCCTCCGCCTCCTCCTCCTCCTCCTCCTCCTCCTCCTCCTCCTCTCCTCTTCCTCCCGAGTCCTCGGGCTACCTTCAATCACCCCAGCCGCTGCTCTATATGCGAGGCGGCCGTGCCGCAAGTTTGGACCCCTCGAGAAGCTTTTCACTGCTGTCCTCCTCCTGGGGCACAGCGCCGGGTCCACGCCGCCGGCCAGGTTGGTCGGCTCTGCGGGCATCGCCGCCGGCGCGCCCCCAGGGCGGCGCGGGCCAGGGCCGCCGCGCGCGGGATCTCCCCCCCCGGCGGGCGGTTGCCGCGCCCCCCCCCGACGGCGGGCGGCTGCGGAGGGGCACGCGGCGCAGGGGCGCGCCGCCAGCCGCGCGGGGCGGCCTCGTCGTCAGCGTGGGCGTTGGCGTCATCGGCGTCGGCGCCCCGCCAGCGTCGTGAGGGGAGAAGGGGGGAGGGGAGGAGGAGGAGGAGGAGGAGGAGGAGGAGGAGGAGGAGGAGGAGGAGGAGGAGGAGGAGGAGGAGGGAGGAGGAGGAGGAGGAGGAGGAGGAGGAAGAGGAGGAGGAGGAGGAGGAGGAGGAGGAGGACGAGCCTTTTTTTTACTCGACGAGTGGGGCCTTGTGCCAAGCCGATGCGTGTCAGCAAAATGTGTATAGTGATGGCGGCCCGTCGCTGGATCGGGCATCTCTAGCCCGTCCTGTCCTGGCACAGCTATGCAGGCGAGTGCGCTCGGCAGTGCTTCGACGTCGAGGCGGGGGTCAGTCTGCATGCGAGGGTAAAATGCGCCTCTCTCGGAGGCCCCGTGCACCGTGCTGCGGAGGGGCGGGAAAAAGACAGAGTGGCATTCGGCACAGGCCAATGCGGGGCCGCCCTATTCGTCGAAGTCAAACGGACAGTAGTCGTCGATCTGATCGACTGCAGGCGCGGCAGGCTGGGAAAAGGCTGGAGATGCAGCAACGGTGCCCCCTAAGGTTTCTCCTTTTACAAACACTACTTGCTGAGGACGTC